GAAGTAGATCTGTCACTGTCTTTCCAGTCTGTCCATTCTTCACTCACCTGGAACATTAGAGGCTGAATTTACCTCTGAATTGGATATTCATTCTGAAGCCTTTCTGAGCTGCTGTCAAAACGAGTCTGGCAAACTTGGAACACCATTTGTTACATCATTTTATTTTTCTCCTTTGGCAAATCAACAGAATTCATAAAGAGCTCTGCCACTGCTCCTTTAAAGAAACCAGGTTCCAAGAATATAAAACTGTCAATAAAGATAGAGAATGTTTCTTCAGGATGCAAGTTGCAAGTTGCAAGTTGCTGTGAGTGATGTTGTATTGTAATCCACACATTAGAGAGATAAAAGAGAGATTTGACAGATTTTTAATTATCGACCCCTATCAACACTCCTTGAATCCCCACTCTCCATTTCCTCACAGCTTCCATCCCTGGTTGGAAATTTTTTACCTACTGCAGTAAGCCAAAGTTATTGATGGGAAGATATCAGATACCTCAACTGTGTTTCAGGTAGGTGAGAGGTTGGGGAGGTCTGGGCATACTTTTGAAAACTAGTGCAATGAAAAAAGTATTTCCTAGGGCACTCTAAAACAGGGAGGCTAGGTAATAGCTACTACTTCTATTGGAAGATTCCACTGTGCTTGGTTCTTTGCTTTAACTATATTATTTATTCCTCATAACAATCACACAAGTAGAATATCATCCCCATTTTACAAATGAGAAAATTAGAGATTAGAGAGTTTAGATATTTGTTCTGAGTCACCACTACCAAGCTTAATGTGTATGCAGTTTCTCTGCTCTCAGAAGTCTACCAGGCTCACCAGAGTTCAGAGCATTTCTTGAGCTCATAAATATGTTTTTACCTTCTAACACTAACATCATTTGAACTTTTTAGGTCCTAAAATATTAGATTATCTCTTCTATTTGGCTTTAAATTCTTTATCTTAGAATCTTGCATGTCTTCATATTCTTAGTGCCACAAAAATCACAGGGAAATTTAAAACGATATACAATTAAATTTTACATATTTGCATGGCACCTTCTTGTTCTCACAATTTCTACGTCATTGAGAATATACTACAGTATTAATAAATATGATAAATTACATTGTACTGGAATAAATGTCCAATATTTTGTGCTGCTAATGATATTATAGCAACAACATGAAGTGCCCCTGGGGTCAAACTAGAGAATCTTCTTTGGACACCATACTCCTCTTTCATTGCTCTTCATATCTCTTTGGAGTAATCATACTGCCCTGTTTCAAGCTCGAACCTTTCCCAAAATCATACACAATACCATTTCAATTGTATGCATTAGGCTTTTCCTCTATGTCCACTATGAAATTACAAGGAGAGCCTACCCAGATCTCAGTACCTCATATTTTTTACATACTTGCATAAGATAAAAGGAAGATGCAAGTAGAAGAAACCAATGAAAGTCTCCTTAACCACTTGATCATGGGCAGCTTCCTTATTTTTCATGTCATTCCACTCTGCAGCACAAGCTTACCACATGGCACACCTAAAAATCAATTATTTTATGGGAAAGACAGAGTTTAGGTTAACCATGCATTTTATATAATGTTAATCTATAGCTAACTGTCTTAAATTTAAATAAAACAATCCCATATAAGAGTAGCAAAAATTTAGAATTCATTTATCAAAGAGAAAACCAAACATGTATAATGTTCACTAACAAAATGTGCACATTAGCAGTTTCTCAGTAGATTATTCTTCTATATTCCTTACAAGGTACTGGCCATTCAATGAGATTAAATTTTAAAGTTATATTTAGAGAGTTGAAAATTTACTCAAGGTCATATTTTCAATTAATGATGAAAAAAATCTTTATTAACATCTAGTTCCTTTCGTTGTTTTTGAGTAGTTTTTCCTCCTTAAGAATACAGAGCTAAGAGACTATGGGTAGAACATAACTAATGTCACTATTAATATTATTAGTAATTAAAAGTTTATTGAATGCCTACTGTGTGCAAGGTACTTTAAGGAGTGAAAAAAAAGAGTAAAACATGAAATTGTAATTATAATTCAAAATGACAAAAATTTGTTTTTTATATATATATATAGATATATTTTTTTTTTTTTTGGTGAGTGGTGAGAAATCATCTCTCTGTACTGAAAATTACCAAAAGAGAAAAGATAAAATTTTAAATATGAATGCCCTCCTGTTTTATAATAACATAAATTCTCCTGGGTTTCCATTATCACATCTAAATTCAAAGGCTATTTCTAACACAGTTGAGTCTCACCTTTTTCCTCCCATCTGATACCACAACCAATCTGTAAGGTTCCAGAGAATAACTGCCAATTCTGGAGACAAATGTGTCTTCTGAAACATTTCTTGCTAGATTATCTCAGCTCTGCCATTTAAGATCTAGAAAATTGAGGTCTGATACTGAAATTCTTAGAGCCTCAGATTCCCCATTTCTAAAAGATACATAATAAAGTTTAAATTGTCCAATTTTTATGATTAAATGATACAGTACATTGGTCTTTTGTCAAGCATAAATTACCATTTAAAGGTATGGAATCATGCTATCTTATAACAAGCACAAAAAAGTAATAATTGCTCAAAATAATTCTCTCCTTGGTCTGCAGTGGGGCCTGAAATATCTGTTAATTTTCTCCCTTCTTGATTTAAAGCACTAGGTCTCAAGAAGTTCTCTGTTTAACTATAAATGTCTTATGAAATAATATGTATTAAATAATTTTCATAATAGTTTATCAAGAGACCTAGTTGTGTAGGGTCACAGTGAAAAACATTTATTATTGGCAGTAATAAAAAGAATCAACTGTAATAAAAAGAAACTACTAATGAATGCAATAACATGGATGAACTTCACAAACACAATGCTGAGTGAAAGAAGTCAGACAGATACAAAAAAAGTTCAGTTTTGAAATTCTTGAATAGGTACAACTAAGAAGGGCACAAAGGAACTTTCTGAAATGATGAAAATGTTCTATATCTTCAAAATGGTGTGGATTACACTAATGCATGTATTTTCAACACTGTTTTAAAGAAACATTTAAAATCTGAGCATTTCATTGTGTATAAATTATACTTCAGTTAAAAAAAGGCCATCTAAACATTATTGTCATTGGCTTTACCTGTTCTTGTGTTTTATGGATGCATGCTGAAATATTTATAGATAAAAATATATATTTATATATACATATATATGTGTGTGTGTGTATATATATATATATATAATTATATATATATAATTCTTGGAATTTAGTGAAAAAAATAGAGAGTGGTGATAAAAATTGGGGCATATGTTGGCATATAAATGAAATAAGATTAGCCATGCATTGAAAAAAGGTGGAAGCTGGGTGATATTCACAGGGGAGTTCTTTATTCTGCCTACCTTTGTATATGTTTGAACATTTTCCTAATAACAAAGTTGAAAAGAGAGGTGTCATCTAGGTTTCTTTACAAAAGAAAACTGAACAGGAGGACATAACTTGTTCAAGGTCTCAGAGCCAGACTGCAAAACAACTTTCAAGTTTCACCTTCTTTCTCTGACCCTAAGGAAACAAAACGTGAGCGTTTTGGAAGGGCTACCTTTATAAAGGGCAGACCAATAATGCAAAGAATTGTTTAATCAATATATGTACTTGTTTTCTGTCCCTTTTCGTTCCAAACGGTTGTTTTGTAGGTTTAAATTGCATTTCACTCAGATTTTAGACTTAAGTGAGTGCAAGGTCAGAGAAAATATCTCCCCAAAAAGAAGAAGAATAAGAAGAAAAGAAATACAAAACTCCAAACAAAATAAAAACACACAGCAACTACTTTATTTTCCTTTCCAGTGCTAAAATCACCCTCCCAATCCAGGCAAAGAAAGCAAAGGCATCCTGTTGGAGGGAGGAGCTTGGTTCTCCATTCTGGTGTGATCCGGAAACAGCTGTTCTCCCTCCAGCTCTGAAAGAGGTGAAAATGTGTTAAGCAATGCAATAATTGTCTTGAAGCCTGCGCGTGTCTGTGTGTCTGTGTGGGGATGGGGAGGGGTGTCAGCTCAGAGGGAAACGTGAATCAGAAGTCAGAAAAGGTGAGTGATGTGTAGAATCGCGGTTTCAGAAGGAGCCGAAGACGAAATTGGATATGATGGCTCGGGAGAATAAACCACGCTGGATTTGTCTCCTGCATACAGGCACTTGAGTCTGGAAAGTAAATTCCATTCGATATCTAAAAGCCTTACGACTGCTTGATTTCGACGGCTGGAGAATATTTATTCCTTGTAGCTGATGGAAAAACCTGAGTCTGGCAGCCTCTGATTGGTGGAAAAGAAAATGGTGATAGTGAGGTGGGAAGAGGATTTGACGAGCCTCCTCCTGCCTTCTCCACCTGTATGTAACTCTTCCTTACTAATCTCTTCTCTACCCACGGGGCCTTTACTGGCTCGGGCAAGGTTAAGAACAAACGAAAACTGAGTATATTTAAGCAAAAGCGCCCTTAACGTTGTGTCCGACGACCATTAATCAAATTTAGCGATCCAAGAGAAACGTGCTCTTGGCATGCTGATGTGAGCACCTTCCTGAGCTGCCTGCCCCTTCAGCAGCTCCCCCAAGAGACTGGCTCTATTTTCGGTGGTTGATCCCTCAGACTCCCACGCTCCCAGATTGGCTCTGACATGGGGTGGGGGTGTCCCAGTGAGGAACCAGAGGGAAAGGGAGAGAGAGACAGGGGAGGAAAGGGGATGAGAAAGAGGGAGAGATGACAGCCCAAGCCTAACCACTCGGGGTCGCCAGAAGAGTCCCCGTGACCTTGAACTTGAGGTGAAGCGCAGAACACCCACATCTTCCCGCCTCCCAGAAGGAGGCAGGCGGCTGGAGCTGGATACAGCCTTCCCTCCACCCCCATCCTGGTCGAAGAAGAGTACAGTGCACGCGGCGCGGAAAGCAGCTAGCCGCGGGAGAGGGGCGGGGAGAGGCGCTGACAAATCAGCTGCGGGGGAGGTGAGCGGAGGAGAAGGAGGAAAAAGAGGAAGAAGACCGAGACGACGAAAAGGGGACCCAAAAAAGGGGGCGAGCGACCGAGTGCGGCGACGTGGGGTGAGGTGCGTACTGGCTTTAGAGCAGACCCGGGGACCCAGCCTTACCTTTAGCATCCTTCGCGCTTTCTCCCCGCCTTCCCTCCGGCGCTCTTTTTCTCTGGGATCCTCTAGCGCCGGGGGACGGGGAGTGGCAATTCGACGACAGGTTCGTGGGTTCATGTCCCACACCCTTTGCCTCTCATCGCCGGGTTGTGTTGACAGCAGCCTCCTCTGGAGACCATCCCTCTCCTGGTGGCGTTTCCGCCCTTTCTGTGCGCTCTTTTTCCTCCCTTTCATTTAAATAACATTTGAGAATTGTTTAAATGTCTTTAAAGCGGGGGTGGGAGGAATCAGAGTTCTGAGAAGCAGAGGGAATCAGGTAAGTACATGTAGATCTAAATGGGCAGCTTTGGAAGTCCCGAACACCTTGTGGGAGAGGAGTCATTGCAGACACCTGCCAGGGGCATTGGTGCCGCAGTGAGGACCTCCTGTGTCAAGTCTCTGAGGTGGGTACGTATCCCTTTGGTGAGCTTGGGGAAAGTAAGTTGACCTGGCTTTCCTCCAGCTTTAGATTTTCCCCTCTTCTCGTCCTCTAAAGCTGAGGGGTCTGGCTTTTCCAGGAAACGCTTTTCCTTTGGGAAACGAGGGAGCATGCTGGATGGAGCATAAACATCCAACTTTCTCTTTTTCCTTAAATCCTCCAGTCAGCCCTCTTGGTTCTCTCTGGTAAAGTAATTAGCTGCGTTTGGCAAATAATTAAATGGAAGCACAGAGGGGGCAAGTCAACAGGTGGTAAAGGGTTAACAGGTGCGGGCGCCGGGTCTGGAGCAGGTTCGCGCGCGCGCGCGCGCGCAGAGAACGCCCCCTCGAGTGGCTGGCGCGCGTCTCGGTGCTGCTGGATGGTGTGAACAGGCCTGCCCAGGGTAGACAGCTGAGGGCCTGCTCAGGGTAGATAGCTGAGGGCGGGGGTGGGTGGTCGGGTGGATTAGCGCGAGTGCGGGTGTGCTCTCAGTGAGCCTGAGGTTCAGCTACACCCAGAGTGAGTAGCTCTGTTCTCTCTTCTCTTCCTCAACCTATTAGCCCTCTTCTGGGATTCATTTTAAGAGTGCCCCTGACCCCATTCCTCCAGCTTCCATTCTTTTTCTGTGATCTGTCTTCTAAAGGTACTTCTAACTTTTACTGTCACAGTTTGGACCCTGGGAAGTTGAAAGAGGGGTCTGTCTTTTCATGCGACTTCGGAGATGCAGTATGAACAGCTGAGATGGTTCATCCTAGTCCATGTTTAGGAGGCTCGACTTTTACTAGCCAAGATGGATGGGGGAGCTACATTTTTAATGCAAAAACAAAAAAAGAGCTTCTTTGTCCAATGGTTGAAATAAGGGAACACTTAAAAGAGTCTCACACTTTGGGGAATTCTACTGATCTTTCAGGGGTTTTTACCTTGGATGGTTCTAGTATTGTTTTGTTTTACCCAAAAGTTCTCATTCAAGTGTATTTTGTGTTCTCCAGTGTGGTGTAAAGGAATTTATTAGCCATGGATGTATTCATGAAAGGACTTTCAAAGGCCAAGGAGGGAGTCGTGGCTGCTGCTGAAAAAACCAAACAGGGTGTGGCTGAAGCAGCAGGGAAGACAAAAGAGGGTGTTCTCTATGTAGGTAGGTAAGCCCCAAATGCCATTTTGATATTTATTTATGACCGTTGGGTTAGGATGATTGATGCTCTAAATGCTGGTATTTCTCACTTGATTCATTTTTGCATCATCACTTGTCAAAAGGATGGACTGAGTCAGAGGTATGTGTGGGTAGGTGAATGTGTATTTGAGTTAATAGTAAAAAGTGGGCCTAATCTTTTGGTTTTCCAGATTATTTTCAATAATACTTAGGACTTTTTGTTTCTTTTAAAAAATATTTCTATGCATAAATGATATATTTCAGAGGGTGTTTTTAAAAATTCAGTCCTCAGCCAGAGTGATACGTTTATTATAATTGATTAACCTACATTGACACATCATTATCACCCAGAGTCCATAGTTTTCCTTAGGGTTCATTCTTGGTGATGTACTTTATATAGATAGGATCGGACAAATGTGTAATGACATGTATCTATCATTACAGTATCATACAGAGTAGTTTCAATATCCTACAAATCCTCTCTGCTCTGTCTATTCATCCCCTTCCCCTAGCCCCTGGCAACCACTAATCTTTTTACTGTCTCTGTAGTATTACCATATATAGTTGGAATCATATTGTATGTGGCCTATTCAAACTGTTTTCTTTCATTTAGTAATATGCATTTAAGGGTCTTCCATGTCTTCACATGGTTTATCAGCTCATTTTTTTTCTAGTACTGAATTATCTTCTATTATCCGGATGTACCACAGTTTATCTATTCACCTACTGAAGGACATCTTGGTTACTTCCAAGATTTGGCAATTATGAATAAGGCTGCTGTAAACACTCATGTGCAGATTTTTGTGTGCACACACGTTTTCAATTCCTTTGGGTAAATATCAAGGAGCATGATTACTGACTCTCATGTTAAGAATATGCTTAGTTTTGTAAGAAACTGCTAATCTATCTTCCAAAGGGTCTGTACCATTTTCCATTCCCATTAGCAATGAATGAGAGTCCCTATTGCTTCACATCCTCACCAGCTTCTAGTGTTTGAATTTTGGCCATTCTAATAGGTGTGTACTGCTGTCTTGTTGCTCTTTTAATTTGCATTTCCCTGATAAAATATGACACAGAGAATCTTTTTATATGCTTATTTGCCATCTGTAAGTCTGCTTTGGTGAAGTGTCTGTTTAGGTCTCTTGCTCATTTTTCAATTGAGTTATTTTCTTACTGTTGAGTTCTAAGAATTCTTTGTATATTTTGGATAACAATTCCTTTTCAGATTTATCTTTTTCAAACATTTTTTCATAGCCTGTAGCTTCTTTTTTCATTCTCTTGATATTGTCCCAGAGCAAAAGTTTTTAATTTTAATGAAGTCAAATTAATTGATTTTTTTTTTTCGTGGGTCATGTCTTTGGTGTAGTATCTAAAAAGTCATTGCCATGACCCACGGTCATGGAGATTTTCTTCTGTTATCTTCTAGGAGTTTTATAGTTATGCATCTTGCATTTAGGGCTGTGATTCCTTTTGAGAGTGTGTGTGTGTGTATGTGTGTGAAAGTATAAAGTTGGTTTCTAGATTCCTTTTTTTTTTTGCACGTGAATGTTCAGTTATTCCAGCACTATTTATTGAACTATATTTGCTCCATTGTATTGCCTTTGTCAAAAATCAGTTGACTATATTTATGTGGTTCTATTTCAGCACTCTCTGTTCCATTGACTCATTTGTCTATTCTTTTGCCAGTCTCACACTCTGGCTTTACAGTAAATCTTGAAGTAAGATAGTGTCAGTTCTCTAACTTTACTCTTCTCTATCAATGTTGTATTGGCTATTCTGGACCTTTTGCCTCTCCACATAAACTTTGGAATCTGTTTTTCAATATCCACAAAATAACTTACAGGGATTTTGATTGAGACTACATTGAGCTATAGATCAAGTTGGGAAGAACTGATATCTCGACAATATTAAGTCTTTCTATTCATGAACACAGAATATAACTTTATCTTGTTCTTTGATTTTCTTCATCAAAGCTTTGTAGTTTATCTTCTATAGATCTTATATATATTCTGTTAAATTTGTAACTAAGAATTTTGTTTTTTTGGTACTAATATAAATGGCATTGTGTTTTTAATTTCAAATCCCTCTTGTTCATTGCTACTATAAAGGAAAGTAATTAACTTTTGTTTGTTAAGCTTGTATCCTGCAACCTTGCTATAATCATTTATTAGTTATTAGTTCTAGGTACTTTTTTCCAATTCTTTTGGATTTTCTACATAGACTATCATGTTATCTGAGAACAAAGACAGTTTTATTTATTTTTTCCCAATTTGTATACTTTTTATTTCCTTTTTTTTTTTTTTTTTGGTCTCATTGCATTAGCTTGGACTTCCAGTATGATGTTGAAAAGACAGAGTGAGTGGGGCATCCTTGCCTTGTTCCTGTTCTTAGTAGGAAAGCTTCTAGTTTCTCACCATGATATATGATATTAGCTGTAGGTTTTTTATAAATATTCTTTATTAAGTTGAAGAAGTTACCCTCTATTTCTAGTTTACTGTGAGTTTTTATCATGAATTTTGTCAAATTTATCATGAATTTTGAATTTCATCAAATACTTTTTCTGCATCTATTGATATGATCATGTGATTTGTCTTTTTGAGCCTGTGGATATGATGGATTACTTTACTTTGCAAAAGCTGAGCCAGGCTTGCTTACCTGGAATTAATACTACTAGGTCATGGTGTATAATTCCTTTTATACATTGTTGGATTTTATTCATTAATATTATCTTGAGGATTTTCGTGAAGCACACTTTTATATATAGGAGTCATGGTTATTGTTAGCAAATAAACTTTCCAACAGAAAAATTATTTTGTTAACATATTTTTTTTTATTTTCATTCTTCACTACAAAACTTATTATCAATAACTAGTTTTAAAGATTGGAAGTGACTGAAGAAAATTTTCTAAGTTTGCTGTAGCTGAAGGAGTTTGGCACACTGTTTTCATAAACTTCATGAGAAAAGTAATGTTATTCCTTTATAGTATTATGCTTTTGGAAGCTATATTTTAACTAATTGAACAACTACCATAAGAATCACTGTTATTTAATATGCTTAACCTGCAGCAAGCTGAGAAAGTCAGCATAACATGCACAACAACAGCGCAGTTGGGTTCTTGCAACTCCCAGGCATTGCTTCTGACTTTGTCTGCCATGTAGTTTTGTGAAGCATTGAGAGAAAAGACGTGACGCATGTGGACTTCCTCAGCTCAGCTAGTGTCCCTTCAGCTTTTATATCTGTCTAGTCACATAGCCACTGGGCACCTATTTTGGATCTATATCTTTTCTATTACAAGTTACTCATCAGTTAAAGGTTAATCACTAATAAACAATTGACAGCAAACAGATGATTGATTTGATAAGAAGCAACCGTATCAAGCCTCTCATTTATCTTGATGCAGGATACAGTCCCTGACTTAGCCAAAGGTCAAATTCTCAGGTACTACTGAGGCAGAGAGGAAAGACTGCAGACCAACAGTTAGACATTTCTTTTTACTAGTCACTTTTTTCACAATATAGGTTGCAAGGGATGGCAAGTGAGTAGTGATAAATGTTCTCTCAAATACAGGCTGTTTTCACTTAACATATTTCCAGGATACATGAATTTCAGTTACCACAGTTAGTTAAATAACATATCCCTAACAACACAGTAGAAATTTCTGTTACCACAGTACATAAAATGTGAGTGATTGCATGAAGTGCAAACTGCTTTTAGCTCTTCAGCCCACAAATCACTACATAAATAACAGAAACCATTATAATCCATGATTGAATCACTTCGCTTCTTTCAAAATGTGTTTGTGATTGGCTACTGTACACCTGCTATTCAGTTTACGTAGATAGCAGAACCCTTGCTTGTGTTGCCACCTTGTCGTCTAGTGAAAAATCCATGTGATATTTTACAAAAATGCATAATTGAAAGAGGAAATTAGCCCCAAAAGATGAAAGTGCAGCAAAGAAATGAAGTGAAAAATGCTGGAAGTAAAATTTGAATCAAACGTGAATTTATTTATAGAAGAAATAGCGACTGTAGGAATGTTGGCACTGCTACAGTTCCAAAGACTCTAGATGTGCAGTCAAAGGAACTTTTGAAGATGACGGTCTCAAAGTATGTGGAAAAAGTGGTTATGATGAATAATGTGAAGATGTCCCAGAGAAAGTGATGCCACAATAATACCTCACTTTAATAGAACAGTCAGAGATATAATATGTCAAATAAAGTGCAAAGGGTAACATTTTGGAAACTGACACAAATTTATAAATTTTCTAAGGCTTAGAAAAGAAGCTTGCTCCATACAGGAAGTTATACAATGAGAACAAGAAGACAAGTAGTGTTTAAAGTACTCAAAAAGTTTTTTTACCAAGAAATAAAACACTTTAATTTTCAATGTTTAAAATTATAGTATACTAGTAAATATTAGTTTTACTAATTTTTCACTTTCCTATATATTTATAAATAACTAAGAGAGTTTTTAATATTTTGAGAAAAAATTTTAAGGCCATGGGACAATTGTAATTTTTACCAAAGATTAATCATAATTTTTATCATTAATTATTAAAATCTCTTACACAGCTTCAACTCAGCTTATGAGTATCATTTTCTGATCCAATGGGACTATGCAAAACAAGCATTGCCTGCAAAGTACACATACACACACCACATCACATATATCTACAGAATACTATCCTGTGTTCTTTATAACATATTTAACAACTGTACAATTTCACTTTTACCAATTTATGTTTTGGTGATTTTTCCCGTGTTTTAAACTGCAAAAATCTTTACAAATATTATATGTAAAGCATAATAACAGTTTCACTTAAGTATTTACTATGTCCTAAACACAGTTTTAAGATCTTCGTGTGTATTATTTCCTTTGATCTTCACTTTGACCGAATTATGTGTATTTGATTATTACATAGTGAAGTGAAGATTTAAATCCAGAATATCGGAATTTCTTAAATATAAAACTTAAGTATACATAAAAAGTATAGTTCATGTTTTATTTTAATTGTAGGTCCTTAAGTATACTCAAATTGGAAGCTTTTAAATATATTTCAATTATTTTATTAAATGTAGAAACTTTCTTTAACTGTTTTGTAGAATATAAATTTAAATATGCATGGAAATTTCACTTAATGCCATATTTTTATATATTTTTATATTATATACTCAGGGAACATTTTCAATATGATTCTGTATATTTATTTAGATCATCTTATTGACCATCATATTATTTAAATCATAGATATGCACTACTAAATTTTAAGTAAATTTGGAACTAGAAACTGCCTCAGAATAGTGTTTCTCAAATTTGATCCATGAATTACCTGCATTAGATCATGAAGGTTATTAAAAGTGCAAATATCTTTACCTGATATTTAACTGAATATCTGAGGTTCTGACTCAATAGTCAACATTTTTAAAGTCACTCCCAGTTGATTCTGCTGCACTCTCCAGTTTAAGAACTAGCTTCTTAGAGATTATTTAATTAATCTAATGTATTAATTTACTGATAAGGAAACTGAGGCTCACTTATACTTTTTTACTTTGTTTATAGTTATTTCTAGCATACTTAGTAAGGGTTTGCAAAACAGTGCATTTTTAAACTTAAGATTGGTAACTATCTTGATATCCAAATATAGGTTTCAATAATTTCCCAGTTTTTATGTCCTCACTTTTTGATATTCTTCAATGTTTCCTACTAGCCTTGCTTCCTTCTACTTGTTATAGAGATTACTGAGTTTCATTGGTTTAGTTTTTCGGTTCTGAGGATATCTTTGTATATGGTCTTCTTAAGACTGAGATTTTGGTTTTATTAGTTTCATTTGATTAGCTATCAGCAATACAGTCCAGTTTGAGATTTATGTTTTGAATTTGTTTGTTTATATAGGCTCCAAAACCAAGGAAGGTGTGGTTCACGGTGTGACAACAGGTAAGCTCCATGGGATTATATCACTGAAAATATCTAGTAATCTGTATAGCCCCAGCACTGATCATGTGGAATGCAATTGCGAATAATCACTGTGTCCATTTTAGGAAACAGCCTTGGGATAATCAGTAAATTACTTATTGTATTTATCTCTATATGGTCTAATTTCACCAAGAATTTACATAAATCAATAAGAAAACTCAATAAAGAAATAGCGAAAATGATGAAAATCATGGTGGTTTTGGTGATGATAAGGAAGGTAATAGTAATAGAAATAGAAAAATCAAAGGAGAACCAAAATTTGACAATGTTAGGAGCCCACACTTGGTATAATAAATTTCAAGTTGTATGTACTCCAACCTTCCAGACAGATGTGGTAAGAGATATAATCAAAAATGTAATTTATATGATCGGAAAGCAGTAATAGTGCCTCAGAAAAATAACACATTCTATTACTGAATTATAAAATAGAAATGGGGAAAATCAGACGGGAATATTAATAATACTATATAATACTAGTATTGTGATCGAAACCATAAACACTGGAGCCAGAACTCCTCAGTTCAAATTTTTGCTTGCATCTTCTAGCAGTGTGATTTTTCTAAAGTAAGTGAATTGATGTATACAAAGCATCTAGAGTACTGAAAGCAAATAATATGTATTGTGTAGGTTTTACTTATTATCACTTTATAGTGAATCTATCTTGAGCAATGGTTGTATAGCTAGTGGAAAAGTATTTCATGTGACTATTTTATACACATTTTTTGATAAAAAATGAGTATAAAATTATAACAGAACCCTTTGAAACTGATTTTGCTGGAAGCTAAGTTAAAGTATGCAGCTTATATTTGCTCTGTTGCAATACAATATTAATGCTGAGAGTAAGGCAAGTAAAATGCCTTCTAGGGACTTTCTATAAATGTGATGTTATTAAGCACGATTTTAATAAGAACTGGATGTAAGCAGTTGGAGACTGTACTATTCAAAGAGGGCCTACCTAGATTAAGTGTTCCATTTTGATAATTGAAGGAGAATCCATGTTGAGAAAGCAGATGAGCACGTTGCAAGTTTCAGAGCCTATGGTAAAAAGTAAAGGACATAACTAATACCGTCATCTAATGGAGGCTCTGGATATGGACTTCAAGGATGACTGTTGACAAAGTCAAAATTTTTGAGGCTTCTCCAGAATGACACACCGTAAACGCAGGTTTAGATATGTGCCTGTGTGCACACACGCACTTGCACTATTAAAGCTTGCATAATGAGGCAATATTTTCTGGAGAATAGTAGCACACCAGCTTATGTTTCCATGTTTTTGTAACGTGTGAGACTTTGCGTATTACATTTTCCTTTAGCATGTTGAAAATTTGAGGTGTCCTACAGTAAAAGAATTTGCATAATTTAGTTTAACCTGGGGTTCTTCAAACTTATTTGAACTTCTTTCAATAGTTGCTAGGGTTGAATTAAGCTAGCGTTGCCCAGAACACTATGGAAAATGCTGCGATGCAGCAAGGCCATGATGATTTTGGTGTGGGCACATTCATAGCCATTGCACCAATCAACCCCCCTAGAACTAGTAAAATATCAAAAATGTCATCATAGTCTGGCTCTGAGAAATGTATTAATAAAGCTGCAATAAGTACCATCTCTCTTACACATCAGGTAAATGAATTACTTAATATGTTGAGTAGGGTTATTTAATATAAAATTCCAAATTCTAATTAGGAGGAAAAGTAAGTTTAAGATAATTACCTCAGTGATTAAGGAGAGGAGAAATTGATTGCTTATTATACATGGTCTAAAGTGTTTATTATAGGTACATAGTAAGTGCAAAATAAATGCTATTTTTATTGTTATTAGTCTTAAAGTAGGGAAATGAGAACTTATTATATATTATATAATATTATTGGCTAATCTTAAAAGAAAAACTTCTCTAAGAATTATCCCATTAGCTATTTTTGCAGAAATATAGACTTTAGTAAACTTAGGTGAGGTGTTTTCTACCTACAAAATCCAAGGGGAATAAATTCTCCCAGTTAGAAAATCACAAGATAAAATCCAGAAAACTCTACCTTAAACCCTGGTTGTTTGATCTCAGGATGTTATTTCAGTTGTCTACTTAATGCATCATGTTATAGGAAAATATAAGGGTATAATTAATCTGGACCTATTGAATGACATGTTTTTCAAGGTGCTTTAAAAAATATATAAGCTTTCTCATTTTTCTCATAAATGCATGATGTAAAGAAATTTCTTTTAATGGAGATTTTTCTGAAGGCTTTTAATTTTATAAAAAGAAATTTATTACATGATAATGAATGCAGTTAATTTTCAACATGTAATAATTTAAATTTTCTTGTTAAATTGTTTTATAATGTAAATTTTATTATTTTCCTCGAATCAATCATTTGTATACCAATTCAAAAGTAGATCTTTCTAATGTTATAGTTTTACCTCACTGTCAAAGGTTAGATTTGCTATATCTATTCTAAAGGTTGGTGGCAAATTTCCTTTCTTAAATTTTATTGTTGAGTTAAAGTCAAATATAAATCTAATTACTAAAGTTAATGTGTAAATTACAGATATATTTAAAACTCCTTTTAATGCATTCAAAATTATTTATTGATTATATACTATGAAATAATATAAAGAAAAATAAAACAGAATCTCTGATTTTATTTAACTCTAAATACATGGATGGAGATAAACAGACATACTAGGAAATGAATAATTATGGTACAATGGTAAAAAGTTCAATAGTAGAGATATATCTAAAATTTCATGGGACCACAGAAGGATGAATAAGGTCACTTATTGAGTGGATAGGTTTTTAAAATGAAATTTGGCTTTCGTGGTGAGTTTTAACATCAGCTTGAATTTGCTGAGTAAACAGATAGAGGGATATCTGAAGAGATGAAGGCTTCTGGCCAAATGGAGCTGTATGAACCAAAATGGGAAAGACTGGCACATTTGGAGGAAAATGTAAAGAATTCAAATATTATACTATCAATTGGTTGGGAGGAAAGTATCCTTTTTGACCCAAGTTATAATGTCTTTTCCCTTTAAAAAAGTTTTATTAGATGCAAAATGTACTAATTTGAGTGTCTATTTTCCTTTTTTCACCCTTTTGTTTGGAATGTAAATAAACAGAGAAACAGTGTAGAAGACCTTACCAGGGGAAAAGAGTCAAGGTTAATGGAAATACACTAGATAAATTAAGTCCTAGAGAAATTTTTTAAAAATGTATCTATTATTGCTACATGTACACTGTTATTTTGTAATGTAACTAATTTACTTATTCTTACAATAATAAAACCTAATGAATTGTAATAAAGTACAAAGTACAGTTTACTGTGCAGTTTTATGTACATTAAAATAGATAAAGATTTATACATATATAAAGAATTACTAGATATTATAAAAATAAATTTTTGGCTGGCAGAAAATCATGAGTCTATAAAAAGATCAAAATTTAGTTTTGTCTGTGATTTTGTAACAAAAAAATATTATCACGCAACATTTTCTGTTCATGTTCTTGGGAATAAAACGACAACTAGAAGCAGATAATTCACTATTTTTAAAGGAAAAACATTCTAGATGTGTTTTAAAATACGAAATTTCCTGTACAGCATTTCACCGGCATTTAAATTGAATTTTACGTTGTGAATAGCTATTACTCACAAGGAGGCAACAGACAAAACCCAGAGGTGGTGAAAGGCAAATATCAAGCAAGACCTGTGTGCACTTTCTGGTTTAGGACTCTAGGGCCACTTCAGCTTCCCTGCCACTGCCTAAACCAAAGCGTAAGCCTCCTTGTCTTTACAGACCACCCTAGCTTCCATGAACTACATAATCTATTCGAAACCCAGTTGTTTTGTCTACACTGTTTAATTACTGGCTTCTCCCAACTGGTAACATGAAATCTGTACAATAATCATGTGACTAGCACATAACACTTAACAGCTGACATAGTGTAACTCCTTGGGTTCCTCAGACTGGAACATATCTGAAGAGGATGTATATAAGTGTAAAGCATAAGAGGAAAATGTGTCTCTATTTGCTTAGGAGAGAGCCTAAGGAAGAATATCACTGAAATCCATAAATTCCTGAAGTGTGGGGGAAAAGCAGGCAAAAAATAAGTCTGTGGGGGGCAAAAAGAAGGCATTCATTGCATAGAGATGAGATGCAAGACCTAGGTTTTTTAAGCATAAATGTTATAAAGTTTAGATGAAGAAGGGTTGTTTTATTTCTGTATTGACCTTGAAATTATTAAAAGAGCAGATTCTCTTGTCTTTTGCTGCTCTTTCATAGAACTCTTCATTTAATCAAAACAATCTTTTTGTATTGGCACTTCTTTTATTTGGTAATTGCATGGAGGTAATACAGAAAGATTAATTCAGCAATTATATCAGCTAGTGTCTTGGAGAATTTTTGAAATAAGGTTAAATCTCTGCTTCTAAATCCAATCCTAAATTATTTATACTGTCTTTCTCAATATTTAACATTTTTAGAAACCTTCTAAAGAATAGCATTGTATTTTGTTTTAGGAAAAAAAAATTAAGTGTTCAATAAACCTCTTTATTTTTATACTTTATTTAATGCCTGGCTTTTTTGTTTTCATTAAAATTATTGAAAATCAATCTTATTCTTAAAAAATCTTTCTGTTTCAACTACCTGAAGTTTTAAGAATCAAAGTTCCCTCATAACCATTCCTTACTCTGTTGTTTATTTCTGATAGTGATATGTATGAGCATGAATGTAATGTGACTCAGAAAGTAAGGTGAAAATGAACCTCTTGAGTGAGATAAAGAATTGGCACTGAAATTGAATTAATGAAATAAATTTCATGATAAGTCTGACACAACTAAAATTGTGCCTGTAAGCATAGCTTTCTGCAAACTTTCCTAAAAAAAAAAAATGTAAACCAAACCCAAGTCACTCATGGGTCTAAATTTGTGATCATTAAACTTGAAGCACCTTTTAATAATTAAAAAAAAAGTATTTTAGCAAAGATTCAGATTTCTACACTCATGTAGAAATCTGTGTAGCTTTTATTTCTTCTGATTTTTCAACTGTCTATGATATGTATAAATATAGGTCTTTAGAACTTGACAGCTAGTGGAAGTAAAATTATTTTAAGTTACTGTCGTTCCATCATCCCTTGATCTGTTCTTGCTCTTAATTTATCCCAGTGGCTGAGAAGACCAAAGAGCAAGTGACAAATGTTGGAGAGGCGGTGGTGACAGGGGTGACAGCAGTTGCACAGAAGACAGTGGAGGGAGCAGGGAGCATTGCAGCTGCTACTGGCTTTGGCAGAAAGGACCAGTTGGGCAAGGTATGGTTGCCTACATTTTACGTTATACTTTTAAGCTTGCGAGATCACAGTGCATTTTCATGCAAGGCACTAGGCAGGAATAAGATGCTTACTTGGGGAGGGCCGACCCCACATTAAAATGTGCTACCTTTATATACATGGCTATTCCTTTTTGAGGTATTAACCCAGATAAATGCTGTGAACATTGTACAATTATCATGATTGTTTCATTTTTTTTGGAAGGAGGTTAATGAAATGAACAATGTAATAAATGCCAAAGGAATAGTGACATTTCAGAAAGAATGGGTGCTTTCATTGTTAGCTATGAATCTTGGAATTTCTCTTTGTTGGACTATAACAGATCATTTTGTGCCCACTCTCTAAATTTTCAAAATTAAGATTTTTTACTTCATTTTTTAATAATGACATCATCTCCTTTTAAATCGCATGTTTGCTGGTCATATAAGAGTTTATCGACAAATACAAGTTTGTGGAAACTGAGAGACTTAAAATACATAACAACCAGAAATCATGGTTTTAGAGTGATTTTAAAATGCTCAGAAGAAATTTGACTTTGCATTTCTTGATGCAAATGTGACTCTGGTAAGATTCTATAAAAGACACAGTGGCTTTCATTTTAAACAGATACGTAATAAAAAATGAGGTGTCAACCGGAAGATGCTATTTTATAAACTTCACGACCAGAGCAGCAGAATGATTTTTGCTTTTTCACTGCCACAAGAGCTTCTTTGCTATACCTTGAAAAAATAAATAAATAATAACAATAAAAAAAATCAAGCTTACTCTTGTTCTGTCTCTTCCCTCTGGAAAGCTCTTCCCCAAGATCATACATGTACTTGGCCTACTCCCTTATCAACTCAGGTCTTTGTTAAATGACACTTTCTCAATCAGGCCTACCCAGACCTGTTTAAAACTGGAACCATTCTCCTCACCTCTGATATTCTTAATCTCCCTTTCTTTATTTTTTTTTTCCTTTTTGCCAAAGCGTTTATCACCTTTAAAAATAATAAATAAGTTACTTATTTTTATGTATGTTGTTTATTTCTCCCTTTCTCAAATATAAGCAGCAAGAGGGTAGAATATATTTTACTTTGTTCACTGATATTTCACATGTCTAGAACAATGCCTGACACAGTAGACAATTAAGGAATATTTGTTAAATTAAGTAGGAAAGGAAGGAAGGAGATAAGTAAATAATCAGAGTAACTTTTACCTCTGTGTCTTTAATAATTATATAGATAGTATAGCAACAGTGGCTATTTAACCATCCAAAAGTTATAATCAAAATGGTTTTAGACTAGATATTGTGAACACTGTAAGAAAGTGGCTTTGTTTGATGGCAAACTGCTCGGGATTGTTGTTTCTACTTAATCCTATGTAGCAAGCCTAGATTAAAAAAAAGGACTAAAAACCTGTGGCATATTTAGATTTTTATCACATGGAGTTGCATTGTCTGCACAATTGATGCGAATTACAGAAAATCTGGCTGGGCTTCTAGTGAAGTTCCCCGGCTAACACTTGAATGTATAGTTGATGGTAGTACTCCTTTGTGTAGACTATGCATTTCAAATAATCTTATTACTTGTGCTAATAATTATACTAATACCTATTTTTATCTGAAATTATAATTATATGTATAGCTTTATTACATTTCAAAAGGTAGGAGTACAGAAATTAGTACAGACATAATAAACCTGTTTGTGTTCCAGACCCTTTTACCAATCTAGTAGAAGCTATGGACCCTCTTCCCACAAAATGTACACTCACATACACACACCAAAAGCCTGCATGGGATCTTGGAAACCCATCGGCAGACAGAGCCCATGATTTAGACCAACTCCTTGATTGTACAGATGAAAGTGAAATCTACAGAGGAGAAGCAAGCAGTCCAAGGCCACAGCCAATTGAAATAGACTGGTTACTAGTAGTGCTTTTCCATCCATTATGTCACGTCCCCAACCACTTCCTCAAAACCTAGTTTCCCTTTGGGTTTTTATAAACTGAATCATGGACAACCAAATTTAACTGGACAAATTCTTTGCTTCAAAATATGAAACCAGGGAAACATGTACCATACCCCCTCCCATCTAAAGTATACAATGTAAATTGCAAATGTCATGAAAGTCTTTATTTCTTATAAAATTCAGCTTGTTTTTTATCTTTTTAAAGTATTTGCTATTTTAATATTTTTAAGCAGAAATCTAAATGATGTGACAAAATTAACCATTTGGAGATTTTTCTCTTATGTGTACTTATAGGTTTCTATAAATTTCTAATGTGAAAATGAAGCTGTTAAACCTAGAAATTACAGCATAGTTGTAGGAAAAAAACGTTGAACTGGGAGTTTAAATGGCTGATTTCTATCTCTGCTCTGTCCATAACTGGCTGGATGACCTTTTGCAGGTCTCTTAAGACTCTTTTGCATATAATGAGGAAACTAAACTAGAAAACTGAGTTAAAGCCCAATTTAGCAATAATGTTCTGAATTTCTATAACTTAAGGAAGACACCAATAACTACAAACTTGTTTCATTTTGGGATGCCAAAAATTCTCAGAATTTAAATAAAATCATTGAATTTGTTCATTAGAAATTTCAAAATAATTTAACTATTCATATTCTGATCAGAGTTATCCCGATGAATGGAAATAAGCAATTTATTGCTGCTTTAACCATTTATTACTGACTTCATTGAGAAACTCATTCTTCATTCAAGAAATATTGCTTACTCACTACGCACCAGAAACTTTGCTAGATATTGAGGTTAAAATAATAAGAAAGCCATACAGTTTTTCTCTTCATTTAGGTTATAGTCTAGTGATAAAGATCAATAATAATTATCATATGATAAGTGTGTAATTATTATCTGCGATAAATGCCATGGAGTACATAATGTTGAGAATTATCTAAAAGGTAACTTAACCCAGCTGGCATGAGATAGAGGTAAGGGGAGTATTACAATTGCTTTGTTGAGGAAGTAATGTTTGAGCTAAGATCTAAAAAAAAAAAAAAAATGACTGGCAGTTAATAAACAAGCAGGATTTGAAGGGAAAGCATTCCAGGTAAAAGCAGAAACATGAGGAAATCCCATGTGGTATAAGGGAACCCTGTCAAATCAAAGAGGAATGCAGCTGGGGCTGGAGGAAATAAGGAGGAAGAGGCTGGAGATGTGTTGGGACCACATCGTGGCTGGCCACATTAAGAATTGGTCTTTATTCTAAGAATAAAGGAACCTATTAAAGCTTTTTAAGCATGGATGTCAGATTATAGGTTTGCATGTTGAAAAGATGTCTCTGCCTAAATGGAGAAGAAAACAAATAAAAGGGAGGTCAGATTGGTAACCAGAGAACAGTTAGTGGTTGTAATGGAAAGAGGAGATTGCATGTACTAAGGTATTGGTGAGCAAGAGGAAAGAAATGCATTAATTCAAAGACTATGTAGGAGGTGATATCAACAAAATTTGGTGATAAATTTCACAAGGTTTAGGAGAAAAGGAATGTGGCAAACAGGGCTACTAGCTGTTAACTTGTAGAGTGGATAAATGCCTCTGTTAGTCTCTTGGTAGTTGGTGCCTCTCTTGATGATCAGGGCCACTGTGAGAGGAATGGCTGTGTTGTGTCCGGACTTCATGCCTTTTAAGGATATTTGGCCCATCGCTTCCTAATTGAGGAGAAAAGCTTCCTTCTTTCCTTCCTTCCTTCCTTCCTTCCTTCCTTCCTTCCTTCCTTCTCCTTCCTTCCTTCCTTCCTTCCTTCCTTCCTTCTTTCTGTTCTTCTTTTCCTTTCTTCTATTTCGTGTTTTCTTGTTGTTTTTTTTTTTTTAAACAAAAGCTATAGTAGCTCATTTTTATTTTATTTTATTTTTATTTGCTACATTTATCTCTTTGGCACATTTTAGGTTTGGTGTACTCTGTCTCCTTATGATGTTAACAGAGAGATATGACAACAGATACCTAAGTGCTTTCGTGAATTTTATTATATGAATGAAGCCACTTTAATAATAATTTCTAATTATTAGAGATTCAAGGACAAATAAGATATCTTGAATTTTAAGAATTGTTGTATCAAATATTAGCTGCGGTATTTAATATATCAGAATAATAAATCTTCTGATCTGTATTTTTACCTGTATACATACAAGTGGTTAGCAGCCACACAATTTATTTTATGAAGCTTATTCATTTGATTGGTATAGTAGTAACAGACTACAAATGCATTGGCAGAAGTCTTCAAGTTTTAAGTTAAAATAAACAGCAATGTTATATAGATAAAATTTATGTTTCCCACTTCTGTTGAGAACAATTTATTTGCTTGTACGAAGAATATTATGCAAAGCAAGTAACTTGAGTAAGACTTGTTCTGCAGTGCCACTATGTTTACAAAATATAGCTAGTCACTAGAACATTTGCTTCATCTCAGCCCCTTAACAGTGCTTTGCATGTGGTTCTGCTCTAATCCTTGCTGAACAAATGAGTCATATGCTATCTGGAATGCCCTAGTAGAGATGGATCCTCACTGTACCTAAAGTTTATATTTTTGTAATTTTCTGGGTTAAAAGAGAGTAAAAATCTTGTTAAACTACAGAGCTACTACCTGACAGATAGTATGGTAGTCAGCTTCATATCACATCCAATTTGGGCACTGACCAATCTACATAGAAAATTTATAGCCTCAGATACTTGAAATTCAGGTTCATCTATTTTATTTATTATTTTTTCTTCTTTCAGAATCAGAATAAAGTTCCTAAACAGTGCCATTTTGGAAAAATTAGATCAGAGTATAAACAATTTTTACTATCCCCAGCACAGAAATTGTTGATTTCAGATGGATAGATGCATGCATACTCTGAAGTTCCACCATAATTCACAAGAGGTTAGCTAAACGAGTATGTGCTAGATGAATAAAACAAAGCAGGAAAGAAAAATGTCAGGTTTGACATTATGATCGATAACATTTAAGCATCTTTCTGCTTATTTGCTTTGACTTAACAGAGCTATCATGTT